GTTACGCGTTTATTTGCGAAAGATTCGAGTTATGACGCGATTTTTTTTTTTTGTTTAACCCACGAAAATGAGCTCAATTTGAAACAATATTTGACAAATATTATAAATTTATTACTGGAAAAACAAGATCTACAAAAGCAACATATATGAAATAATATATAATAATTTTTGAAATAGGATACATAAATCTTTTACATGACATTAAATATAAAAAAATGTATATTTTGAACACACTTCAAGATACGTTTAACAAATTATACAAGCATATTTAATATTCATTTTGAGATGTAAAATCAAACAGGTATTAACTAACATAGTCCAAAACAAAAAAAACCCCTATTTTTAGGGAAAAAATGTCTCTATGCATTCAATGTGTACACATTGAGTACATCTGATATGTGAAAGTCACAACCTCTTTATTATCACACCCTAGGCTGATCCAGGTGAAGTTATCATATCAAACAAAGTCAATCATTATGTTAAACACATTCTAATTAAAATTCTTGAAGAACTATATCTAAATTTGTGTTATATTTTTTTTTTAATTTTCTGTTTGTTTTCAATTGAACATTTGGTTTAGCACCTGGACCACAAGCAGAAGAAAAATAAACACACTCACAACACAATTACAATATGTTAAATGTCAATATCTGTATACAGGTATTAGGTAAATCGGTCAAGATGTTGCAAAACTATTTGACTGAGTATGCACCACTGTACAGATAAATACAGGAAACATGATGTGCTATAATTATAGACACGATGCAATAATGTCACAAATTTTGTACTCTGGGTATAATGACTCATAAAAAAAAGTTACTTGGGGGTTCTGTTTTCATATATAAAAGTTTTGTTACCATAGTAATAATAGGATAATTAGGTTGAAGTACTAGAACATGAATAGAATTTCCCTGGAAGATAACTAATACATTATATTTATAACCCCCTCACAGAGAATTGATCTTAGATTGTCGAGAAGTAGAACATAATGTGAAGTGAAGCAGATCACGTTTAAGATATTTTCAATAGAATTTAAATATATCAATAATTTAGGGTCGAATACTCCGGCCATTTTCAAAAGTTCATTAATGGATCTATATTCTGAGAGTAAAAGAGTAAAACATGATTTTTTAAAAAAAACTAAATTCTTCCACTAGCTCAAAACAGCTAAATAGAGTTCTACTCTACCTCTGCAAAAATGTCTCAAAATATACTCTAAATAAGTAAAATAAAACCCATTTTCTGAATCTTAACATTTCTGAGGGTAGAAATTCCCCTGCTATGTCCAGCTTACATTCCCACACATAAACTGCTCCTGTGTGTTGAAGCTCAAGTAAAAAGTACTTTGATGCCTATAAAGATTAACCCTGCACATAAATTAAAATTCCACTCCCTCATTAATCCAGCATCCTAACTATGCCAAAATAAAGGTAATCAATTAATGCATTCTTCTGAAGAAAATTTCAGCAACATACTTTCATATTGCCTGAGAAAAACTTAACCTAAAGTTGATATCATATTGATTTTAGGGAACATACATGTATAGTGAGTTCACCTTGGTGTTGAGACTTTTTACTTATTTCTAAATATTACATAGCGTGTTTATTTCATTTTTGTTTCCACTATTTCCTTGTAAAAGACCAGTGGATTGACACTTTAAAGAATGCTCTACATATAGCAAAACATTACACTGAAAAAGTCTTTTCTGCTAGGATGTGAAAGAAATCTTTAAATGCCACAACATTGTGAATCGTTCAGCGTAACAAACAATCTGGACTGACATATGGTCAAAGAGGACTGGATCATATAGTATAGATAATACATACTTAAACTAGGAGACATAAAGATATGACAAGTTTCAGAGTTTCCAAAAAAGGGTCATAACACCATACATACGGTAGATCCATGTGCTGCCTTATGTAATACAGAATCTAAATATAGAATCAATCCTAAACCTTCACAGACCCCCTGATTTACTGGTAGTCATAATACGCTTGTCATAATAATGGATTAACTAAATCCAGATTTAGAGGAAAAAATATTTGTACAGATTTCAGTTTCAACTTGTGCAGGCTATTGTGTCCATGCATATAAAAACAGTACAAATGAACTTGCACAAGCTAGTTCAACAATTTGAAATAATGATCAGCTACATATTTCCCCCCAAAACAATGAACGGAATTTCAAACAATGGGGATGTTAATATTAAACAACATTAGGAAACATATATAGAGACTTATAACATTTTCCTATTTAAACTGCATTTAGACAGTAAATAGTAAACTAAATTTAGACAGTAAATTAATGTGAACACAGACATTAGTAAAAACAGAATGTTATGATTTTTAAATAAAAAAAATCTCTTACAGATTAATGTACTTGTACTTGGTATTTGGAAACATGGAATTTTTTTATTAGCAACATTGTGAAATATTCAGGACAATGAATGTTAATATTGTTTACTTTCATGAAACATATTAGTTGATAGTTACTAAAGATACAAAATTTATTTAAAACTCAATTCGAAGAACTTATTTATATCCACTATTTATATAGACTTCTTTAGTCCACCATTGTCTTGAAGTACATTTATATTTATATATTCAAATCACTATATTTACCTAGTATATCTAAAAGTTGGGTTTATTTACTGTCCTATTTTCAAACAGAAATGTTAATTTTACACTTGCTTGTTCTATATAAGGCAGTTACTGTATCTTGGATATTTAAAAGTATAGCTATGAAATTCAGATCAATTAATCCAAATATTTGAAGAACCAAGAATACAAATTGACAGAATTTCTCTAAATTTAAAATCAAGGATATACATTCCACATGGTATATTGGTCAATTTTTAAAGAGAATTGCCAGTAACAACAATAGCAAATTTCTATGTATGAAAATAATGATGTGTTTAAACTTCATTCAAGTTAAATCCCCTCACTGTTTTCTATCTTCCTATCCAAAGTGAGGTTTAATGAAGTTTGCATGTTTATACGAATTTTGGCAGTGAATATGCTTAATGGTGTCCTGCATAGATTTTACAGCAAAATTGATTGAGATGAGGAGAGAATATGCTTATAATCATGAGAGTGATGAGATTCTTATATCCAACACAAATATTAAATTTGAGGCAAGAATAATCAAAATGGTATTTTAAAAAGAAAAACTTGTCCCTATCTCTTAAAAAAAAAACCTTTATCTTTAATTGTCAAACTTTAAATTTTAAAACAAACACACATGAGCATGTCATAATGAAAATATTGAACACAAATAGCATTTACAAATTTCTTCAAATTTCTCTAATATTTCCATGTCATTGGAATTTCTTGTTCATCACATTTCAAAAGATTTGATCTGTGTGATATTTTCATAAAATTGATTCTTTTAACAGATTTGTAACTCTTCAGTAGTATTGTTGTTCTGGTAGACTATTTTACACCAATTATGTGTCAGTCGCGTGTGTATTTCATTGTATTTAAATGGGTGAAGGACATTTTTAGCGGAATTGCAAAAGGTGTGAATGGACATTTTAGTGGAAGATTCATTGGCAGAAGATAAATCAGTTACCTCTTAAAATTCAATGGACATTTTAGCAGATTTTTTTCACATGTAAATTTAATTCTCTTTAAACAATCAATGTAATGTTAAGTCAGCAAAGCAATTAATTACCAAAGTCCCAACTCTGGACGTTTCAATGGCACAAGTAACCAGAGGCCCTTGGGCCACAATGCTCACCTGAGTCGCTATGGCCCTTTCGTTCTTCAGCACCAGATTTTTCCCTTTATATTCCTAGCTAATACTTAGATTACATATTGTGGCCCCACCCTACCCCAACAGTCATTGAACTTGAATCTAGTCTACTTGAGAATTCTCACAGGTAATTATGGAATTTCTTAATTATCTTCCCTACAAAGAGGGTGTGGTCCTTCATTTGTATAAACTTGAAATCCATTAATCAGAGGATATTCTGTGCCAAGTTTGGTTGAAATTGGCCAACTGGTTCTGGAGAAGATGAAAATGTGAAAAGATAACAATGATGACAATGACAGACAAATTTTGATCAGAAAAGCTCAGGTGAGCTAAAAACTCTTCACTTGAACAAAACTCAAAATATAAATAATGTAAACATTGTGTCAAACAGTACTGGTGTTTTAGACATTAATTGTATTTTAATGAACATCACCTTGCTCAAAATTCTACTTCCACATCCTTGTTGGTCAGCAGGGGCAAAAGACTTTGCCTGGGTAATGGAAGATGTATACAGTAAAACTCTGTTATAAGGAAGTCCCTGGAACCTCCAATTTTACTTCATTATAACTGATATTCTTTATATCTGTATATGGAACAGCAGAAAGTCGACAAGGGGATTCATTAGAAATTTGTTATAACCAAGATTTCCTTATAACAGAGTTCTTTATAACCAAGTTTTACTGTTCATTTATTTTACTTAACTATCTGCTAAAATGTCCACATCCTACTTCAAAATTCCTTTAAATTGCCCTACAAACTTCTGGTAAAATGTTCACGAATTGTCCACTAAAAATTCTATTTTTTTCTGCTAAAATGTCCTTTCCATCAATTAAAATATTCAAGGCCATTTAAAATTAAGCAAATCTGAAGGTCATGGCTTTTAAGGACTATCAATATGATAAAATGATGTCTGAATATTACATTTATACACAGTTTATGAGATATCACATTTACAGGTGATCATGAATTAGTGCATTAGTAACAGCGTGTAAGACGCTAAATGTGAATCTCATTACAATACGGCTATATAAATACAGGTCCATCCAAAATTGTGATGGTTCATTCAATGATTCTGTATAAACATACATTAAGTTTACAATAATGATCAAATACCTCTTCATTAAAACAGTTGATGCAATGGAAACTTTGATTTTTGAATTGAATTCAGTTTCTCTTGCTGAGTATTTCTCTAGATAATTGTTGTGACAGGCCAAAGAACTATGAATTACTCTTAACATCATGGACTTTTTTCCCGATCTTGACTAGTACCCTGCACATTGACTGATTCTCTGCCCCTCTGTAGCTGATTCCATTAGCTTTACGGGGAAGTCATTGGATAAGATCACATCTCGTATGCATCCAACAAATCCCGTCTCGTACAAACTCATGGTGTTATAGGAAACATCTGGCATTCCACCTACAACAATCACATTTTATTTAAACAAGGTACTTTATATGATTATTTATACAGACATAAATATAACCAATGAAATACTTTCTTTGTTCATTAGTATTGGAATTATTATAGCAGCTGTTGCAGCGAAAATTCATAACTTGCATAAGCCATTCCAGGAAATATACATAACCTGCATATTATGTTACTTTTTTCTACAATAGCTGCAACCGTTAATTCCATTACTAACAAACAAAGAAAGATATTTGATTATTTAATTAAATACCTCAAACAAATTGTAAATTCCAAAATCTGTATGTTAGTCTTACCTATATAAACAGGACCATTGATATTCAGATCATTAAATCTGCCAGGAGATTTTCCCTTTACGACATGTGTGTCATCAACTATCAAAGAACCATGCTGCCCATTCCTGAAAGGATTACCAATACATTATTAGATGTGATATTCAAAAAAATTAAAATTAGAATTCTAAAATTAGAATTGTTCTAAAATTATCCTTCCTTGCTTGAGTAAATAGTATACAGGAACTGGGTCCTTTAAGTAGAAAAAGTGTACCAGCTACTGTAGGCTTTAGTTCTCTAGATTCTAGGACTACACTATTACTTCTGTGGTACACTAAGTCTCTCCATCAAATTGTGAAAAAATAAAAAACAATGACTGCGCAATTTAAGTTATTTTGTGAATGGTATAAATATTCATGCATCACTTGGATTGGTCATAGTAGATACTGCATGATTATTTGGTACATGTATCTGTGTCTACAGTTTGTACGTAGTTTATTTGAGAGGTTAGAGTATTTCAAATACTGGATAGACAACTTCTAAAAATGTTCATTGACGTAACCTTCTTTTTAATGTGATCATCAAACTCACTAAACACTACCCTTCAAGAGAATGTTTCTCTTAACTGTTTTTATGCTACTAAGAAACAATTCAATTACTGGTATTTGATTATGATTATCATAATTTTATCAATGCAACTTTTAATTGACAGCTAGAAGTATAAAAGTGTACATGTATAATATACATGTACAATATTATGAACTTATAACAAGCTTTTTCATTTACATGTAATAGAATAAAAAAAAATCAACAACAAGGTCATGCTCATTGGAAATGATGAGTTTCTAATATTAAGGCTTCATGATAATCAATAATACTGATGCTAGGAAAGTATTCACAGCAAGGTTGCTGAACTGCACAGATGCCTCTTATGAAATTAATACCCAACTGCTTCTTATGAAATAAATACCTCAAGTAATTTCAGACATGTTATAGAGAATCTTAATTATGTAGGTGAACTTCCTCACTAATATTCAAACATTACTTCAGTACCTTTGTACTTTGATTGAGTGCCATTTTCCATCAGATAACAAAGTCCTGTTATAAGAAATGAGAGCTCTCCCAAAACCAAGATTGTAATGGAACAGGAGAGAGCCATTTCTGAACCCCAGGGCAAGGAAATCTTCTCCCTCCTGTTTGACAGGGAGGGTCTTGCTAGTCCAGAAGAGAAGACCATCAAGAGAGTGTCCACGGATTTTCAAATGTATGTTGGATTTCCTCCCAGACACTCTACAAGAAAAAGAAAAACTTTTAAGGTTCACCGACCCCCCTGATAAGATAGATAACTCTCACTGGGATAAATATCTATTATTTCTTTGTAAAATGGACATTTAAAGGCCATTATTTTGTTTCTAACTTTGCACTAAATGGTATGCTGAAATTGTAAATTAAAAATCTATAAATCAAAAATTATAAATTAAATCTCTTTTGGAAAATCATTAGCGTTAAAGCAAAATTATACATGAGTGATAATATGGATTATGAACCTTAAATGCCTTGTGAATTGGCAATTTTTTTTTTAATTTAAAAAAGAGACTTTGTGCAGCTTAGGTGTACTGAACTGCTCTTTGGTAAGTGATTTTGTACCTTTTCCTGATATCTTTATCATCGTAAGACAGGAATCCTGAACCTCTGAACTTTGCTGTAAAAATGGTGAGATCTGTAACAAGAACTAGATAATCAATAGAAAAAAAATCTAGAACATAATCTAGAACATGAGAAATCTAGAACATAATCTGGAACAAATGATAAAGGTGACTTTAGTATCTATTTCTACCTACCATCTATCTATTTTGTATAACATGCTGGTATACTTGCTCCCCCCCCCCCCCTTCCCACTGGCTGTGTTCAATGTACTTGCTCCTTTATAAGGATTTTTATCTTTTATTTAATATTTACTTACTCCTTTCACAGTGAGAGTCTGTGAATCCAATAGGACATGAGCAGCCATAAAGCCCTAATTTAGGAACACAAAGTCCAGAATTCTGGCAAGGCTTTGTATTACAGGGGTGGGAACATGGCTCCACATTATAACCTTCAGCAGCCTCTTCAACAAGGTCAACAGGACGGTCATTTATAATAAACTACAAGAAAAAATCAATAAATATCAATGTCTAGAAAAATTAAAATATGCATTCATTTTAAAAGCAAAGCTTAAATATGTTAGCCAAAATCCCACTGTGAAGATGGTAATGCATGCTTGAAGTCTTGTAAATTTTCTTTATAACCTTTTGAATACATCCTTTAAATGATGTAGACATATTGAGATACTTGGAGGTGATGTCAAAATTTGGATGACCCCCAATGAATAGTGGCTGTAACAGAGTAAGCTGTGTGAAAGCTCCTTTAGACAGCCCCTGTACTGGACTCTGGTTGTCAACTTCCAACACACCCTGTAGGCCAGTTCTGGAGACTTTCACTCTGTGCCACTTTTTCAGACTCAGTGGCTTTGAACTCCTAAATTCAAAGTTAAAGTTTATTATGCAATAGGTTTAACATCAGCATAATTTAGAAATGTAATTTTTGGGCCATACTTTGGAAGCAAAACATAAAACTTACTTTAATGGAATTAAACTTTTTTTTCTTTGCTTTCGACATAATCAGCAATGCAAAAAGGGGCACAACTCTTATTCGCTTGTGTAGTGTAGTGGTTAACATGTTAATCTCAAAAAAATATTTGAAAACTGTTTACTATGAAATACAATAGAAATAGAAATCACTTGTAAAGTTAAACAAACCTTATAAAAGCTGGTCCAGTGCCCAGATCAAACTGGAATTCTACATATCCCTGACGCATCAAAACAGAGATGTAGTCCCCTTGTCTGTTGTTTGTGTAACCATTGTAAAGCATCACTCCCTCTGACACTGTAGGTTTTATTATCATCTCTATCTCAGTGTAGGACAGACTGTTCCTACCAAGACCTTGGTACTGGAGCACTGAGTGACCTTTGAACTCAGGAACTTGTACTTTTCCACCTGTTCAGGAACAATGTTTATTTTCACCATCATGCACCAATTACATGCAAGTTTACTTTGTACAATAAGTATATTTTTATTTATGTGAATCAAATCTTAACCTACTCTGGATACAATCTGGTCCATAGAAACCCAAGGGGCACAAACAGACATACTGATCAGGTGAAATAATCTTACAGGTTCCTCCATTATGGCACACATTATCATCACACACATTTTTACTGCAGTCCTCTGATGATAAAGAGAGATTCAAAACTTAACAATGTAGAAGCTAAATCATACACTTAAATTCAGCAAAGAAATATTTGCTCTGCCATTTTTTTTTAGCCATTTTAACATTATTTTGTGAACTGGAACATATACAGGTGACTCTCGATCTCTCGAAGTTCAAGGGACCGCAAGAAAAGTTCGAGAGATCGAAGGGTTCGAGAGATAGAAAGTGAATAAAATCCTGAATTTTCAGTTCCGATCATCATTGTTCTACGTTTATAAATACCGTAAGTATATGTTGATAATATCATTGCACATTTTCATTCATATTTTACAGGTAATTCACTTGATTTCAACAACAATGATCGTATTTTGAAGAAATAAAACGATCTCTTTAAGTTTAAATATTTATTTGTTCTCATTTCATGATTACATAAAATCTGAATAGCAATCGTCGGTGTGGCTACCCCCTGGGCTTGATCGGGTCCTTTACCAGATTTCTCGTATTAAATCGGTATTAATTCTTGAGATAGGATTTCTTGTGCAATGTTTGTCATACTGGAATTATGTACACTCTAATTAAACTTCATAATCTAAAATTAATGACACGCTTCTTTAATTATTTTCTAAAAATTTTCTTCTCGCTGTCAAGTCAAAATAAGTTGTGAAGCAATTTATAATTTACCAATTATAACCAATTAATTATTTTATCAACACTCGGATGCTCACAGGTATAGTGTCATCTATGTAAACACCCAATTAACACCTCCATGCCAGCCCCAGGCGTTCACTGTTATCCAGGTAAGTCCAAGCTGCATTAATTTTACGCTTGATTGGCGTGTACACACAAGCAATCAAAACTTCGAGAGATAGAGAGTAAAAAATAATGAAATGTGTGTAACGGGACCCATGTCTTGGTTCGAGAGATAGAGAACTTCGAGAGATAGGGAGTTCGAGAGATTGGAAGTAAATTTGCTTAGTTATATAGAGGGAAAAAACGGGACCGGAGGTTCACTTCGAGAGATCGAGAACTTTGAGAGATCGGAGTTCGAGCCATCGAGAGTCACCTGTATAACAGATTGCTCCTAACTGATGGGGATACCTATATTCTGTCCATCTATTGCATCCCCTAGTTTACCCATAACATCTGTCACCAGGGCTGACCTTCCGTTATTTATTGCAATCTTTGGCTCCCCCCGTACTGATTTTCTGAAGTCATACTGCCACTGGTTAATGACCAGACTCTGTACACACCCACGGAATCCACTCCACATATTAACTCTGCTCCGTATTGGGGAAATGTTCTGGTATCCTCCTACATACAAGCTTGTCCTCAGTGTAATTCTTGTGTATGATCCCTACAGTTTCAGGAATAAGTACATCTCAAAACATTGTTGATTCTCTGATTTTTATTTCTTCAAAAATTATGTTTTTTTTAATTCTTTATTAATGTACTTTTACTTTACTTAATGTACTTTTTTAGTGCATGTAACGTTAAAGTTTGAATAATTCTTTCACTAATCTTTGAAAAATCAAGAAAAAAAAAAAATCAAAAAATGAACAATTCCATATTTACCTGTGAGAATCCAGAAACAGGTCCATGTCCATTCATCCATAGCCAGCCCTGGCTCTCTGACCTCTTGGCCTTGACCTGATTCCACTGACCAATCTTCACATGGTTTGGGCTCCTTATTACAGCAGGACCAGTTCCACAGTCAAACCTTTTAACAGTGAGAGCATGTACTTACTAGTTCCCTTTCAGCAGTCTATATAAAAACTTATTGTTTCCCTTGTCTTTTTCATAATCTTGCAGAAAAGCCCTTCCCTGTTTTGAGCAAAGCACTGTATATAAGATACTGTAAATCACTTTTTATTTGCAAGAACTTTATTTTCATGTAAGTAAACAAGACCTTCCACTCGTGAAAATTTCTTTCTCATGTATATCTGTATTATGAAAATTATATAAAATAATTCTCAAAATTCGTTAAATTTTGTCTCGATTTTTAATACCCAATAACTATCTCGCAAAAATAAAGTTGTTGAGAAAATTTGACGATCTACAGTATACCTAGATTTCACCCAATTTAAGTATAAATATACCAAACAACATGAAAATAAATTATCAGCTGACAAATTCCCCCTAGAATATATGTACTGTTACATTGCATAATACAGTAAAACGCGCTTATGGTGAACATGCTTATAATGAATTGACGCTTACAGCGAAGGGATTTTCATTCCCCTGGCTTTAAAATATATTGCGAACATAATGGATGTAACGAATTACGTTAAACTTTACAACAAAGCAAAATTGTCCGTCCCTGGCACTTCGTTATAAGCTTGTTTTACTGTATTTAAAACTCTATCTTTAATGAAAATAATCGTCAAACCAACCTGAACTCTACAAAACCATTGACAAGAACAAGAGAGAAAAAGTCGCCTTTGGCTTGAGAATGCTCGGAGGAGAACAACAGGAGTCCAGAATCTGAGGCTGGCTTAAACTCGACAGAGATCTCAATATCTCTGTATCCACTGGTGATGGGGGGCAAAGTCAGGAAGCTATCCCCCATGAACTGGGGGTACTTCACAATTCTCTCTGTAGGTATTATGTATAATAATTAATATAATATATGTATATTGTCTTAATAATTTCATTAAAATGGAAAAATTCTAATTGTGAAAGAAAAATTAATAAATGTAATAACTGTAAAAAAAAAATGTTTGGGGATCAGAATTTGAACAACATGAAATGCTTCTGAAATGATTTTTTTATTCATGAATGAAGATATAGAAATATTATATTATTTTAACAATGGATGAAAGAACAAAACAGCCACTCTGAATCAATCACTAGATCTGTCTTTAAGGAAAGAACATTTTGATAACATTCCTGTATTTCAGAATCTAAACCTAATACCTACTATCTAATTCTCCTTAAAAAGGAAAACTGATTTTTTTCCATAGAATAGTTCTTTTTTTAAAGATCTGTAGGTATTCTGGAAATTTTTTTTTTGTGTTTTATTTGTAAAAGAAAAAAAAAATTAATAATAATTATCTTCATTACAATATTCCTCTGACATTGAAAAAAGACACAGTAAAAGTTAAAATATATCTGAATTGATTATTTTTTTTATTCTACTAAGAAACAAGATGTATTTTTGAAACACTGATGCCCCTGTTTGACAGCTCATAGTAAAGGAAAAAGTTTTTCAATATTAGGTAAAACTCCAAGGTCAAGGTCAATAGGTCAAAATGAACAAATAGACAAACAAATTAACAGATAGACCAAAAACTATATATACCTAAACCTCCGATTAAAGGGGGGGCATAAAAATTACCGGAATCTTATACTTAGAACACTAGGAAATATACACATCATGGAAATAATAAATCTTTCCCTTAAAGAAATAAAGGGAGATAATTAATCTCTAAAGAAATATTACCTGTGTCACATAATTTTCCAGTATATCCTAGTGGACAATAACATTTAGCTTGTGAATCTTGTATGGAACATCTAGCAAAGTTTTTACAAACTTTCCCCACACAGGTTGGAAACATCACGAGGGGGGAAGGCCCCAGTACAATGTTGTCATTTGTTTCACCATGGAATGAATTCTGTACACTGATCTCTTCCTGTACACTCCCCAGGGAATGATTCTGGACAACACTGGAAGACAACTGGGTATTTTTGGGATGAACAGCATTACCGAATGGAGATCCTTAATAAGAAAATAGAAATTTTACTGTACATGTTACATACTAAATATTAAGTGATCAAAACAAGTCAAGTATGCAGAGACAGAAAAATTAGAAAGTCTAGATTTGCAAGTACAATTCTATAAATAAATAATGTGTATTTTCATGTTTGTCAAGAAATTTAAATGCATTTCATAACAAACATGAATATGCATATTATTTATTTGCAAAGAATCAATACAAATTTCCAAAATATATACATGTACGTGCATATATACAAATGTATCTGCTCCAGTTTACTTAGGGAATAACTATCTTTTTATTTGGTATTTGCGACCGTTAATGCTGATTTAACAGTCACAAACTGAGTTTTACCTGCTCCGCTTGTGCGTCGCCGGTAAAACGGATGTTTGCAACCGTTAAATCAGTATTAACGATCGTAAATACCAAATTAAACGATAGTTATTCCCATTGTAATGCAATATAAAGCATTTTGTTTGATGTTTTTGTTGAGTTTTGGATGTCATGGAGCATTGTGTTTTTGCGTCGCTCTATTATGACGTCACAATGAAAAGCTTTCATTCTCGTTAATGCTCGTTTTACTGCCTCAAACATCAGTGTATTAGCCAATCAAAATGTGTTTTACAAAAAAATTACATTAGAATATCAGTTTAAACGCTGTTAAATTTATAATAAGAGTATATTATTTTTTTTATCAGAATTTTGTAACAAAGTTTTAGAAATATTCTGAACAGGTTATTCAGGCTAATATTCTACCATTAAAATAATGGTGGAATTAAATCTACAGACATGCAGCAATCCAATATTTATTGTCTGTACTGACTGAAGTCCTAAGAGTTTTCTGACATTATTCTACCATTAACTTGTGAATGTGCATTACTGTCTGATAAAATATTCATTTCACTAACAAATTAGCTAAATCAGTTCTGTTTCCATACTTTGAACCATCTGACAATAAAACCTGCATGTAATGGATTTTTTATCTGCATTTGCTATCTGATTCCCCTAGTAAATATGCATTAGCATCAAAACATATCACATAAAACAATGGGAATATATTTAACTGTGTTGATGCTTTCCTTCTTATGTTTATAACTCTTCGCACTCTCTTTATGAGCAATGATTGTTGATCTTTACAATCTACAATAACAATAGATCCTCAGAAAATTCAATTATCAAAAATCTCCATTGCTTGCTTCCAAACATATGGGAATTAATGATGATTGTTTGAAGACAACTGTGGAAACAAAGAATTCTGCATCTCAGGAAAACCGATAATGGTTCAATCACTCTCCAGTAGGCAGCTGGCAAACGTGGGGATAATTAAGGACCATGAAAAGTTCCTCCAAGCCAGGGGCAGACAGAGATCACCATTACATTGGAATCAATAATCCATGGCTATAGCTCCTAACAGTGCTTGTCACACTAACCTCTTGTCAGGGCAAATCTCTCTCTCTCTCTGTCTCTTTCTCCCTCTCTTTAATGATGGAAATATGGGACATGCAATTTTTCTGCAATTTGGCATTGCTAGCATGGTGGTATTTTTTTCAAGAAAGAAACAAATGGTACTTCAATCACATTTGATTATTTCAGAATTGCAAAGTCTAGGATGTTTCTTGTATGTGCTCTACCATCCAGTCTCTTCTTTATACATGTATTTACAGAATTCCAGTTCAATCGTAAAAACTTGCCTGAACATGAAATCCCATCTTTGTTAATGGTATATCCTGGGTGGCATTTACAGAAATACCCATTGTCTATGTCTACACAAACATGCTGGCAAACAGAATCATTGCCACAGCCTCCTAAAATAAACAAATAATGTGTAATAATTTTAATTCGTGGGGATTAATCTTCAAGGGCAATGAACATTTTACTTGTTTGTGGGGACATAATTCAATGGATAACCCATACATGTATTTACAGAAGAATCAATGAACCTACATGTTGACAAAATTACGGTTCATGGGGATGTAACAGGTAAATTTGTGGGTAAAGGTGACCAACAAACATTGGGCCCCCAAGAACAATGATTATTCTAAGTACATAAAACTAACTATGAAATCAAGATTCTCCAAATGTGAAATAAAGATGAAACCCAGCCTACATTTTTAAGAAAAAAAAAAAACACCTACATTTTAATAGCCATAACCCATAAAATAATCAATATAAAGTTTCCAGTTGTCAACTTAAAAGATGTACTATATAATATAAATAACTGACATACTGAAATGAATTAAAGAAAGAATTACTAAAGCATGTTACAAAAACTTTACAAAAAATTATCTAAACACAGTTTACTGTGGAATCATTAAAATTTGTAGTAGCCAATTTTCATGGATTGCTTAAATTTTATGTGTTCATGGGGATTTAATTTGGTATATTCACCCACATCTTTAAAAGGAAAAATTACTTTGAATCCCTAGTTTATAAATTCTCGGAGGGCATAAATTTGTGGATGAAGGGTACCCACGAATTCCATGAATATTGAGCCACCATGAAATCTAATGATTCCATAGTATTTAAGAAATTGTTCATTTTCGAAAAGTTCATGTGGGTACGACTTTTCAAACAGGCATACTTTCTGTTCCATAAAGAGCATTAACATTTCATGAAATATCCGCCTCTGAGAAGTCAAAGTTCATACCCTCATGAACTTTTCAAAAATGGTAGCAGTGTTTGAAACTCGCTGCAAAATTAGCCAGACATGCAGGACTGACTGCCAGTAAAAGTTGCCAGTCCTGCCAAAGAACTACTAGCCCAGAAAATAATTGTCTTTGATAAATTTGTTTTTAACGATTATGTGACTTGAACCAGGTCACCATAACTTCAAACCAGAATCTATAGACTGATGAATTCTTCCTCTTTGCTTGTTACACTTTGCTAATGATACTATTAGTTGATATGAAAGAAATTTATCAAATATATGAATTTTTATTATCGAAAATTTTAACACTTCCAGCCTGGCGTCAATACATGCAAATTTATTTGCCTGCTGCAAAATTTGTGCGTCTTGGGCGGTCGGGCGCACGGTTATTTCAAACACTGATGATAGAAAGATATTACTTTTATTTATCTTTTAATTAAATTATTTTTCATTCAAATACTCATAAATTGAGAATATATGAAAGGATAATTTTCTCACATTAGCCTGGACTGCTTTAAAATTTTTCAAATGAATTTATCACATTTATTGTGTACCGAGTTCTTTATTTCTGTATGGAGGAAGATCATTCGGTTGATTGTAATGTCATAACCAAATGAAGGCAAAGTTGTATTCTTGCACACTGCATGGTGATGAGATGATGAGAGGATGAACTTTAAAATCTATATAAATGAATCCTAAAGGAGAAAAATTACTAATATACATGTATATTTGTACATGTATTGCTAATTAGGATTTTATTATTTTTACAAAATTTGTACATACATAGATTTACAACAACAAAAAAATATTACAAATTCTTAAAATGCTCCAACAAAAGAAATTATCTGTTGTTTTGTGATGTCTGAAGTATGATGATGAGAATTGCTCATTTTTATGAATACAGGTACACTGTTTCTCAGTTTATCATAGGCAGGTGTTTCTATCTATAACAGTAAACTCTGAAGAAAAATTTCTCCTTTGTAAAAGTAAAATAGCCTTTGACTACGATCCTGCTATCCTTGGCAGCTATTGTAATTTATATCCAGTTCAGTTTATTAGTTCAGTTCAAGTATAGTAACAATGTATCTAACCAGCCATGATGTTTAAACATTACAGCAACTGACACAACTTTATTATAAATTACATCAAATTTCACATCTTTTCTTTTACATTATGGCTTGAAAGAGGTCTGCATGTGTATTTTTATACAATGAAGTTTTTATTGTTATTGTTCTATTAAAGTTATAATTCAGTGTATTATAATTTAAACTACTATAAACAGTAGACAGATTCAAGTTATCAGGGATGTATATATGTTTATATCCAAAGAGATTTCGTAATTATTAAGACTCCCACTGTAATGAAACAGAGAGGCCTTCCTAAAACACAGATTATTTTAACCACGGGACTGGACAAACTGAAAATGAAAACTTGAATTTAAAAAATTCACCTTTAAAATATATGTTTTTTTTTAAAAAAAAAAAAGTATTTTCAAAGAAATCTTTATAAAAGAGACCAGAAACTCGGAGAGATTTTACCATTTGCAATAATAAGTGATTTTTGCTAAAAATCAGCATCAGCAACAGAATTAGCAGTTAGAAATCCCTACCTTGGAAAAATGCCACAAGAACATCATTATTTCTGTTCGCTTCTATACTTAATGTCAAAAGAATCACAGAACAAATTATTGCTGTCCAAACCCTAGCCATCTCGGCTCATCATCTTCTCCTCCTGTGGCTGAACTCTGCTTGCTGTTCCCGGAAGTTAATGTAAACAAAAATTGTAAAAGGTAAAACCCAATCGCATGAACCTCGGAGATCTGGATTCAAAAAAAAAAAGAAAAAAAAAGAAAAAAAGAGGACTTATCCCCGAGTACCCGATTTCGTCCTTTGTTTTATTGTTTGGTATATTTCAACAAAATAATTGATTCTATCTTTAACCATTGACCAGTAGTTTGGGAGTCACAGATTTTTTTTTATTCACTGATGTGATTTTTCTCACAGAAAAATTGATTTAAATTGATTTACAGAATGAATACCAACGTCAGCATCATATCAACGCCCCCTCAAAGCCTTTCAAAATCAATACAATAATAAAATTATTTAAGGAAAAGATTTTTGTAAATTAATTTCTTTACTATTGTATATTTTTTCCCCTTAAATTAGTCTACTTTCTTTTTTTGAGTTTCAATGAAATTCTGTTTTCAATGGCGATTCCAATTTCAACAAATAACCAACTCATTTTTACAAATATAAAGCAGGTTTATTTGTGTATACTGTTGGCATAATATAATGGGATCTTACATCCAAATAACATTGAAAGACTTTTACTTAACATTTCATCCTAAAAGGGCTAAATACACATGTATATATCACTTCAATTTATTCATTTTTAAATCCGAGTTCAGTAAAATATACCTTTTTGATGAAAAAAAATGATATCAGAACCTAGTGAAATTGTTCACTCTGAAATTTTACTTTTAGTATTTTTTCTGACAGGAACATTAAAGTCAATAAAAATTAATTAAAAAAAAATTGACCTGCAATATTGATTTAAGCTTTTACAGAAGATCGTAATACTATTCACAGTAAAATTCTTCACGGTGCACAACCCAAATACCATGCTAAATACTGCATTTATATCAGATACACTTTAAAACTGTAAACAAGGGATTCACTGTATAAACCACAGAACATGACAACAACTTTCAGCAAAATACTTAAGTATATATATGTATATATATAAAGATTAAAACTCTTAATATTAAAACAACCTATCATGCACGAGATACCAGTATAAATACATAGAAACGATACTCATGAACATGTGTAACATCACGCATAAACAACGTTTGTTAATTAGTCATAATCACTTGCAAACCTGCACACATTAACACAGATCATCCCTGCCTAATTATTAATTAATTAATTATTCTACATGACAGACATATAAAACACCCCTATGATATTAAAACAACCCCCTTAACATAAAAAACTGCTTTCTGTAGTACAGGGTACATACTTCTTATTTCTAAGAATCATGATTCTGAGTCCCAGATATGTCAAGTGGTCTACATCAAAGACTGCTTTACATGAATCACACATGAATCACATCTGAGTCACTCATTATTAACCTGTTGACCGAGCTAAATTCTTATTTTACTTGACAAAACAAATTAAACATTAATATACATCAGTATTAATCTACAAAATAAAAAAAAAAAAACATTACAAGACTACACAAAATATCATGTGACAAAAAATCTATAATCATCTTCGTTCAATATTTTTTTTTTGGATTTATGGCAAATTCCTGCATTATTCATCATGTACAAATGTGCATATGCTGATGAAATATATTTACATTATATATTTATACACATTTTTAAATAAAAAAGTATTTACATAAATGATGCACCATAAAATCAGTTAGTTAACACTACCAAAGGCTCTATTTACAGTCTGACGGATAACAAGAAATGGAATTAAAAGTTCTAAAAAACCAATAAATAAGTACATATCTCTTCCAGTTCTTCACTGGTTTCGTTAGGAGTACATAACTCATGTTACATTAAAAAAAATTGTCAATAACATGTACAATTCAACTAAAAATACTAAATGTAACCAGATTATAAATTTATATATATAAAATTATAAATTGATTACTGGCATCCAATGTACTTATTTTTCGATTATTAACTACAACCTTTGTTTTTATTGATGGAAGTAGCGGTAAAGCACAATATATATATATCAATAACTGTAAGCAGGTTACATGGGATGACAAGAGCATGGCATTTAACATATAGAACAAATATCACAAACACTTTGATCCAAGCATGTTTTGATTTATCACAACACCATCTAGACACATTTTCTCTCTTGTCACAGTCTCACACATCTATTCCCTGTAAACTCCCAGTGTAAAATGTTAACTGACATCAATATGAAAATTTCGCCTTTGTTCAGAAATTCGTCATGACACTACTTTCAGAGTAGAAGAATTCCACATGAGTATCCTTTAAGGCTGAGATTCGTCTTGAGAGATTGCACCACATTTGTTTGATGGAAGACTCGGATGGTGACCCTAGCCTCTTTTTGGATTTTATGCTGCTGCTATGGCGATGACCATTATAAGAGCAACAATACAGGTCACTATGAAATGTGCTATAAACATGTTACGCTTGAAGATACGACCCTGAAAAAAAAGATTAACATATCCTGAAAAGTTGTAATTAACAAAAATATCAAACTTAAAATTCCAGTCACTAGGAATGATTAAATCTCAGAACTACTTACAGCTGGTTCCGGCTCTGGAATATTAGCCTTAGGATTTTCACGTTTTTGAAATTCATACTTTTTCCGTCTCTCTGTTTGGTTCCAAAAATATAAATCTTAGTTTACAATTTTGATCTCAAGGATTTCAGAACTGTGTCTACAACAATTGATAAACATCTTCAGTCTTAATGTGAATAACACTTTTTTGGAAACAAATATTTACCTTTGTTTTTCTTGTGAGTACAACATTGATGGATTTCCAATGTTATCTCCACAATGATGTGAAAGAGGATATAGATAAACAAAATCCAAGTGGCCCACCATGGAACATGAGCTTTCCCAAAGCTCATTCCAATAAACATATTGGGTACTTTAAAATAAAAAGCAGTATATTAATTCAGTGCTCAGGGTGGAAAATATTTGTTTAAGTTTTCATAAAACTTGATAGTAGATGCTAAATAGTTTAATCATTTCAGCAAATAATAAACTGTAGTCTCTTACTAGCTAAACACCAGGCTACAGTTCCAAATGCCCAGTGGACCCAGTTAACACAAGGTCTACAGTCATGGTCATCTGCAGGACGGAGCAATGCTATGATTGGCTGAAATTAAATATAAACTCAAAATTTATCAATTTTTATCTATATGACATGTACATGTTATAATGTATAAAAAGCTGATATATGTTTGTGTTAATCAAAGAAATAGGTAATGCTATGCATTTTACAGGGCACATATTTTTCCCCATCTACCATGTGTACTTACATTTATAATGACACAGCAGAAAATTATTATTCCCATAACAGGATGGGCATCCAAAGGGAAGTAATCAACCTGAAGAAGAAAGGAGGACCAAATGTAAGCTTTGGAGGAATAGATTAAATACAATTTAGCCTCTTATCATTTATTGGAAGTGTGAATTGAACAAACCTTGCTGTATCCTCCTGCTTCCACAAAGATTAAGATGAATGCAATCAGAACGAAGATAAATAGCCAGGCCATACAGTTGAAGTGAGCCTGAAATTCGTAAGCAAGATCAGTGCAAATACTTACACAATTATCATGCAGGGAAATAACATCTATTTTTGCATTTTCAAAAAATTAACAATGACAAGTACATGTATTTAAATACTTATCACTCAGCATTAATACATTTTATGATATATACATCCAATCCACATAAAATCTAAAATTAATGATGTATAACAGGGGAAAACTCACAACAAACCAGTATCGTTGCCCATAAAACCTCTTATTTGGCCACATAGGTTTATAATACTTTGTCATCAGAAGTCCAACAGTCCCAAAGAAACACCAGGCCAGGATCATTAATATTCCTGTAAAATATCAATTTCTAAAGTTAAAGTTAAAATCAAGTATCAATGTAAGCTTTTTTTCAAAACTTCCTCATTATAATGAAATGTCAACACAATAAAAATAATTATTTAAGAATATTTCTTTAATATAATGTGTTATACAAACATTCTTTTTCTACAGAAACTGACCATGAGCCTTGACCAGTGGATAGCGAGCGAATCCCTGCATGTTGATAGAAATGTCAGCCAGAGATACCATGTCAGGGGAGGCAACTGGGTATTCACCATAGCCATATCTGTGTGGTGCAGTCAGTGCTGAAAAATACAATTCACCATTAATTACTCAAGTCATTACACCAAAGTTCAGTTTTAAAAATACTGATGTAATGTGTATTTATATACCATAAACAAAATTCCCATAATAATCTAGGCCACATTCATTTGTTGCCATTGCATGTGAGTAAAACTCCTGGACAACAGTTTATACCCTTGGACCAACAAAATAGGAATTGGACACAAATCCATTTGATATCTTTAATTTGACAACTGTATACAATGCGAATCTTTAACAGCATCTTGATAAAGTAAATAAATTCTGAGCAAAATCATTGTGTTATTACATGTATTTCTGTTGCCTTTTCAACTTCCATGTACAGTTGATATTAGCATGTACTTGATTTTAATGTGAATCTTTTAAATTAGTTGGAACTGTATTTGGCTTACTATTCTCAGCAGGTCCACTGTACATCAAAACATGGTATGAGCCTGACAGAGGCAGAGAGTTGATGGTACGACTGGAACGCACCACGAATCGACATCTCACCCTCCCTTCCAGAAACTGACCACCACATTTGAGCCCATACAACTCACAGGAGTCATCAATACCATCCCCTGGCTAATAACAGCGATAAAAAAAATCTATGAGTATTTCAACGAAGCTCTGAAGCCAAATAAATAGTCTAAAATGTCTAAACTCTTTGCATAAAAATAAAGTTCGGAAGTGGGTTATAACTGATATTTTCATTTTATTCTATATTTTGTTATTGATGACAACAGTTGAAAAATTTGTCAGAGGGTTTGATTACTCCAGACTTACGTTCTTAAACCTCTGTGTACTGTGGTCAATGCTCTTTGCTTGGTAGACTTTAGTCAATCCTGTACCTCCTTCATGGACACATTCAAACACTCGGTCATCGCCCTACAATCATCACAGTAAAGAATACGTAAGTTTATGAACCATTACAGAAAAGAATACATAAGTAAATCAACCATTACAGTAAAGAATACATAAGTAAATCAACCATTACAGTGAAAAACACACAAGTTAATCAACCAATACAGTGAAAAATACAAAAGTTAACCAACCATTACAGTGAAAAATTTACAAGTTAATCAACCATTACAGTAAAAAATATGTAAGTTGATCAACCATAACAATGAAAAATACAAAAATTAATCAACCATTACAATGAAAAATGCACCAGTTAATTTTTTATACCACAATTCAGTTTGATCTTTATCAACATATCACATAACTTTATCAACTCCAGTTGTCAACATAGTACATGTATAATTTTAAAGAACTATTATGACCCAAGCTTAGCATCCAAAGATGCATCAAATAAGCAAGTTTTCATAGTATGTTACTTGAGTCAAGCTACAAATGACCTAAATCCTCTTTCTCCTGGGTCATCCCAGTTTCCATAGACAGAAAATTCAATGAAGCACTATGTGTGCTTGAACATGTATGTATGTCTGGCTGATATATGTCACTTGTGCTAAGCCAGACACTGACTTATACATTGTCTTTAACCAGAGTCACTTAAGTCTATAATGCAAGTCCAGATTCACTGAAGTGTAAATTTTTAGTGCATTCTTTTCATACGTCAGACTTGGCATCTATAGATACACCATATACACAAGTCTGGACAGACATGATGATTCCAGTATACATCCATTACCCAAACACCCACAGAACAACATCATAACTGGGGTAGAAAAACTTTATATCCTCTTATTATTGAGCTTTTTTAAAAAAAGAAAAAAAAAAACTATGTTAAATAAAACACAATGCATTAAATATTAACAACGCCTTACCCATCTGATATCCTCAGACAGAGCTAGCGAGACATGTCTGTCTGTGATGCCATTCACCCGAGCACTCATCTCAATCATATACTCGGTTCCTACTCGACTGAGTGGCCTCCAGGTGGCGATGTAATCACAGTAAGGTTCCCAGCATCCCTCAGGAACTCTGTAACAGCCCTTCTCAATCCCACACTTGTCTGTGTGGATTGGGTCAATGATAGGAAGAGCCTGTGTTGTTAATAAAAAGTACTTTATTTAGACAGATTAAGACAGAGAAAATTAAATAAAGTCTACAATGTTGAAGAAGCATTATCAAATTATTTATACACTGTTATATATCAGATTAAAATTTCATAAAGCTGCTTCTTCAATAAAGCACTAATATGAAGCATGAACTTCATGTACATGTACCAATTTGACATGTTGAGGTTTTCTTGTACGTCATGAAACATTAGTGCATAATACTTGATTCAAGTGCTTATATGTTAAATCTCTGATGTAAAAATTCCTTCTGCAAAGCTATACATGTATATAGGTAGATTGAAAAGATTAAATACACTCAAACCATGTTTATCCAGACACAGTCACTTGTGTTCCCAAGCAAATTGTCCGGATTAATGAAGCATCTGGATTACATAATCATATTTGGTATTCCTAAATATAAATTGTTCCCCACAAATTTTATCCGGAAAGTGAAGTGTCCAGTTTATTGGTGTCCCGATTAATGAGGGTCCATTGTACTCCTAACATTAAAACATCTACCAGTATTACAGTATTACAGGAGTAACATGACTATATGTATCTTTTATTATCATTTCTTGAAAAATACTCCTAGTTCACTGTCATAACCTTACATTTTGTCTGACAATGGAGGGGTCCAGGGAGGGTCCTCCAATCTGTACAATAGGTTCTGATTCTTCCCTCAGCCAGAAATTACCCTGGTCATCCACAAAAGTAGCCCTGATAGAAAGGAGGGGTAATAATTACATGTACATGTATGGAACATAGTTACTTTACAAATAGTTCTAATAAGCATGTCAAATGTCTGTATTGATTTGATAAGCTACATCATCTACCGATATGTAATTCTAGCTTTAGGAATTGCTATCAAAAAATCTTCTATCTGTTTCTCACCTGAATTTGATAGGTCCTTGTATGCGTCTTGGGGCAAATGAAAACTGGATTTTTGTAGCTTTGCTGTCAAATTTGAGATTTGTATCACTTTTTACAGTTTTACCCTGTAAAAGAAGAAGAAATTAATTGAATTGACTAAAGTTGTCTTAACAAGACTGATGTTTCCCAAAGGGGGGGGGGGGGGGGGGAGAGAGAACCACAGCCAAAGTCTGCATTTTCATTAAGTATCTACATATGCATCATCATGATCTTATCTGTATAAAAATTTCACATAATGATCAAAGGTTAATTTGTTCAAATTCTTAGGCCAGCTTTCAAAAATGAGGAAAGATTTATGGTATGTGGAGCCATTTGGTCTGCTTAACTCTTGGAGTGAAAGACCTAGGTACTAAGTCCATATGCACTATATCTGTATAAAAGAATCACATTATTAAAGGTAGAGTTTGTTCAAATTCTTAGGCCAGCTTTCAAAAAAGAGAAAAGATATATGGTACATGGAGTCACTTGGTCTGCTAAACTCTTGGAGTCAAAGACCTAGGTAATAAGACCAAATGCACCATAATGACCATATCTGTATAAAAAAATTTCACATAAATAATGATCAAAGTGCACTTGTTCAAATTCTTAGGCCAGCTTTCAAAAAAGAGAAAAGATTTATGGTATATGGTGCCATTTGGTCTGCTAAACCCTTAGTGTAAAATACCCAAAATACTAAGTCAGGATAGTGGAATCCAAGTTTGCTTGTAAGCAATTTATAAACATACAAAGAATTTAAAATACTTCTTCCTTAGCATATATTAATCAGGTAAAAGTGAAAATATTATTTAATTAACCATATTTTCTTAATGATTCTTGTTTATTTTTAGCAACAGAAATCTTGAATATTCTCAATAGGAACAATACATTCAAGATATATCTCTCAAGAAAAGTTCATGAGGGTAAAAACTAAGTAAATTTCATGAAAGGCTACCGTGTTTCATACAAAATATACTATGTGAAAAAAGCATGTTTATATATTCTCAATGCCATTAACTTCTCAAAAATGTTATTACATTGTATTTTTAACTTAAAAAAAAAAGCACATGCACTGAAAATTTGTAATGGTTAATTTTCTCAAAATTAGCCTGGAACTGAAATGTGTTTCAAAGTAGTTTCAGTTATTGTGATGTCTTTTCTCAGACCTCAAAGTGTGGGGGTGGGGTGGGGAGGGAGGAGCATCTTCAGGTGACTATGAAGACCTCATTTTATGAAGACTAGAAAAGCAGTTTTACTACTACCATAAATATGAGGCTTTTAGAGTAAAAACCCATTGCAAAGTTCATATTATGAAAAAATTGTCTAGTACCACAAAAATCATAGGGTAAGGTATTTAAAGATCAAACCAGATATAAGATGTACTGCTAAGTAAGTAGCCGTGCTAGCCCACACATACCATTTAATAAACAAAAGCAAGTTCTACTCCACTGTACTTTAATAATTGTCCATAAAGCGTTTTCTTTCAGTTCAGTAGACTCTGTTTCAATATATTCAATTACCATCCTTGTAGTAACTAAGCGAGTTAGTGTATTTCCAGCAAGTTTACCGACACTTACTATATTAACAACGTGTAAAGATATAAATACCCATCTTTGCAAGCCAAGGGTTATCTATCTGCTATGCTCTTGTTTGTGGGGAGAGTAGCAGACCAAAAGATGCTAAATACCCAGTTTACTTTATACCTACCTCACAGTCACTAGTTGTACTGACAGTGTGCCCTTCCACTGGGATTTGTGTGAAAGCTCGGAAACCATTCTCACCAGGGTTAGCTACAAGCGCTTTGCCCATAGAATCAATGCTGACAGCTTGTAACATGAACTGGTTAATAAATCTACCACCTCCTCTGGATTCCAAAGTTACTAAAATATACATGGTGAAAAATAATTTAGAGTTATCTTAAAGAAAGGGATTCATTGAAGAGATTAAATAACAAATACATGTTAGCTGTAAAGTCACCAGTGACAAGTATTGAAGGATATGTACAGATTTTGTTGTTTGATCATCTAATATGTCATACTTTATATGAAGACATCCAATTTGTCCCACAAATTACCTAACAAAATAGTTTCATGTTCTGGTAATTCCACTTTAAATTTCAAATTTATTTTTTATTCATAGACATCAAGTAAATCTCTTTTATCTTATGTACATATATTTTAATGTGTTCTGAAAAATATGACTCAGAATTTGATACATAAAAACACAAAGAAAGAATGTAATTGCCAATCAAAGGAGAAAGCCTATCACTTGCCAAATCTGCTGAGCAACTTAGGAGCTGCCAAGAAGAATTTCTTATTTCCTATCTGACAAAAAAACTGCCACAGTGAAGTGTGATGTGTGATTAAGACACAGCATTGACAGAGGATTGCCACGAGTGATTAAAGCTATGACTACAACAACTAGGCCTACTGAAACTATGTTCATTAAAGACTTATACCACATGTTTGAAAAACTGAATGTGCAACATGCAAATCTTCAGATTTATTTCAAAAGCCATTTGTTGCTTTCAAAGTTTTAATTTAGCTCTCTACAATTTATTGCATCTATTTTATGCATTGTTCAATGTATACTGTAAGATCACATATTTTCGTGGGGTCAAATTTTTGTGGTTTGAGCAAAAACTATGGGTTTGTGGGGATTTGATTTCGTGGATGAAGAATTGCTGAGTAGGTATGATATAACATATAACATTCGTGATGGACATGAATTCGTGGCTGTCTTCATACCTCCAAAGCAACGAAAATTAAACCTCCACGAATTTAGTGATGTCACAATAGTTACTTACCAGTAAGATATTCTTCAGGATCATTGGTTTTGTATGCAAATTTGTTGACCTTGATGATGAAGGGACAGGGGAGGATCTGGGGAGAGGAAGAGGTTCCAGTGACTTCAAGGTCATCACAGGTACAACATGTCAAGGCCAAAGTCGTGGTGACCCCAAGGATGGCCAATAACAGCACTGTCAATAGTGCCTTCATCTTTGTTTATGGTACGTTCTAAAAAAGAAAACAACATGTCATATTAACAGTTAGATTATGTAATCTGAAAAATAACACCGCATTTATCTCCAATGCACTTCTGGTTGGCAAAATATTGGCAGAGCAACCACAGACAAACTTGTGCAAAAAAGTCACACAGTACTTGTTGTCTCAAGTGGACAATGCAGCAATGAGTCTTGTGACAAACTGCTAAATCTCTGCCAAGTCAAAACCTCAGAAAAAAACAGCTGTGGTGATTCTTCAATAGGATCTGATCTCTAACAGACAGAGTTTGTGTACATAATTGTGAGTCATATTGAGAAATATGCCACTGATAAAAAAATTGCACCCTCTCTATTTATATCTGCCCCCAATATATTGCTTAATGCTGCATGGTGTAATGCTTTGGTAGACCAATCAATCAAAGATAAACTAAAAGATAACTAAAAGTCAAAAAACACAGAGAGAGATAGAGAGAAAGAGAGAGAGACCATTGCCACATTTCATTAGGTAAATGATACACTGCTGTCAATTCATTTACCATATTTTTTTTTTCCAACCACAAAACAGGAGCTTCCCCTATATACACCTCTAGAATCCATCTAGTGAGGAAAAAACACAATATGGTTTGGGGCTGGAGTTGATTAATCACCAGTGAATGACCACTCTGACCTATGTATTAAAAAAAATCCCAGCTTCCCAACATGAAACAATATCAGAAAAACATGCAAACTCACACATACCAAGATTAGTAATCCAACAGCTGAATGCAGACTGCCAGTTCTCTGATCTGATTTGTATAAATATCTTAACAAAGAAGAATGTTGAGAGTAAATTAAGTGTTTTGAACTGGTGCAAAGGAAACTGGTTTCACTGCATAATGTAAACCGCGAGTGTTTTTGAACAATTGACTTGTTATTTCATACATGTCATGGCCAGTATGCTGTGCATAAAATTTGTGTGGGCATATTGACATCACAAAGAAAATTCTCTCTTTAAAAATTCCATTCATAGTGATGTGAATCAAAAGTCATTCAACAATGAACATGCATGCTAAAAATAATATGAATAAAATAAGCATCAATTCTGCAGCCACGGGTGTTATAATAAAGGAGAAAATTTAAAAAGACAAGCTACCAATGCCTCTTACTTTTTACATCTTAAAAAATTTCAAACAGAGTTGAAAAAGAATTTAATCAGGAATACTCTGACTAAAGAATGGGAGTTTTCACAGAAATAGTGTACATGGAGACTAAATACTCTTTCTAGGATAGTGGAGTGCAAGTGTCTAAACAGATTTTATTGATAGTCTAAATATCAAGTGGAGAGGGCACAAGTTCCAGAACTTAAATTTCATCTTGTAATCTTTACCATAAATACCAGCAGCATAATCTATCATGCTTAAGATTGTGATTTCTGAGACACCAATACTGTTACTTACTAAGTAACAGTTACTAAGTAACAGCTAGTGACTGTCTACAGAAATATATCAGATTGATCAATCTCATAGACAGCGAGGTGCAATTCTGTATATAATAAATAAGTAATAAACTTATTACCGGTATTAATTACCGGTATTAATATGTGGGGGGTTTTTGTTGATGATCCATATGTCAGTTAACAAACCTCTATAACTCTAAATCACAATATTTCCAAATGTCAATATGAGTTTCTTTAAAAAGCAGAAAACAAAGCTAGCATGATGAACAGCTTTCACAGAAGTGACATCCGTTATCCAATGACAGAGCATCATTCTAGTACAAGGCAAAACAAATGTGAATGTTTTGGCCAATACTTATCAAGTACATGTACCAGCAATGGAAAACAAAATAACTGTACACTGTAAAAAACCAACAAATGTTAAAATTCTTTTCTAGTTTGTTGGAGGACAGAAATCTATTGGTAGGCAATTGACACACGTAAAAGATCACTGCAGGTGCTTGTACTCATTCAAGTGCGATTTACTTTGTATATTTACTTAAACATGGATTTAAATTAATAACACTTAGGGAACATAGAGTAAATACAACTCTTTTTTTTTTTTAAATAAACCTATCCTATTTTTCAAGCTATTAACAGGTATTAACTGTTTTAAAAAAGGGCAACCCTGCTCTGCAGTAAAAATAAATGTAAATATAAAGCACTTGCATTTTTCATGAACCATTATCATAATAATATTAAGAACAATTTCATTAAATCACTTGACTTTGTTCACTGCTTACATACGAAATAATTTTTTTTTTTAGATTTAAAAATCTATATACTGGTATATCTGTATATATATCTTCTTTATCATTTTTCTTATCATTTTCTAGATGTTGGAAATCAGAATGATCTTGAAAATTAATCCAATGTAGGTCAAATCTCAAAGATAACCAATATATCTTTTTTTTTTAAAAAACTTCATTGACTACACAAAAATCTGACATTAAAAGACACCACATGACCCGATATAAATATTTTTTGGAGTGGAATGAACACATATCTCCCCCCTGGGCAACAGAACACAAAGTGATGCAAGGATAGCTCTGATAACAAATAGCTGGGGCCCCAGGCTGGCACACTAAGCAAACGCCCCTTGATTAATATCATGAAATCACACACACTGTGGTTTACTTTGTGTGAAATTACTCCTAAATCCTCAGGGGTGCAACAAATAACTGCTTTATTAAACAACTGCACTGCACATTTAAACAGAGAAATAACTGACTTCCTAATAGACACACATAATCGATCCTCTGTACATACATAGATATGTTTCATTCATGAATAGGTATATACACACTTGTTTTATATATATACATATAACAGGCATCTGTTCTTGGTATCATTAATCACAAAGATATTTAGATTAAATGTCAACAAAGTCAGCCACATAAAAACCAGTTCTACTAGTTTTCATGTGTTCACCAACCACCTTTTAAAACTCACCTAAAAGTCAGAAGTTTTTGTAAAAGAAAATCCAAACACTTAGAAGAAGCTATGATCCTCCATCTTGAATGCCGAGATTCTGTTACACCTCCAAACAAGGCTGCTGTGACCCATCCTACCTCTACGACCTCTGACCCCTCTAGCTGTCTGACCTCATGAATCACAGCTGTTTGGGAATGCCTTTTGATATATAAACAAGTATATTCACCACCCACCTGCTGTGCAGATTGACTAACCTTCAGGATTTAATCCACTCCTACCAGCCTTGATAATGTACTGTATATTCCCAGAAGCTATGTTTTTAAAGTCTTTGTAATAAAAAGAACAGTCTGCATTTCTTCCTCTTAGAGACCTATGGTTGTTTTATTTTTGTACATACGGTGGTTTTGGGAAACGTTGGAAGCACTTTTCTGCATGAATTCACACACAAACAATAAACAGATTCTCCCTGAGCGATCGCTGGGAGCTGAAAGAAGCAGTTAAGTTTGGGATTACGTAATTTCAAAAAGACTCTCACCTAATAAAATTCCCATTGCTTTATCTTAACCATCAGGAGAAGCAACTCTCCTATTCAATATCAGATTATCTGTGAGTCTGACCCCCCCCCCCCCAAAATCTTTTCAATCAGTCCTACTTCTTACACTTTTCTAGATATATTTTACACACCCTAATCATATACCTACTGACATGCAAATTCGTCTTACAAACCCTTTTATATTTTTGTATGTAAATGCCAAACATATATCAAACTGGATTAGGTAAAATATTTCAAGATTTTTTTTTCGGAGGTAATACTTTTCATTCTACTTATAAAATCAAGGATTAAAGAGTCACATATGCAAGCAAATTATGCAGAGATAAAGAGATGTAAAATTCTTTAAATAAACTATTACTGAAAAATTTCTGTGTCATATAACTTTAGGTTTTGTACTTGATGCAAAACTGATAGAGAAAAGAAAAACTATTTTAAGTAGACAAATTTGCAATAGTTTCTGTCATTCCTTAATAGATGTTTAAATATTGAATGACATGCAAGATGAGTACACGACAGAGCTATTTAGAAAGCCTTTTGATACAGACCTCATTAATATATATATATTGTGAATAACTGCTCACATCAGCCCTAGACTTTATCATTTACCTACAATTTTTGTACAGTACATATTAACTGTTAAGAAATATGCTTTGAACTGGATCTGAACTACACATATATACGCACCAGAAAATTTGATTTTAAATACTGATTTCACCAAAAGAAATCAGTTGAAAGCATCAGCAAACCCATGGCGAGGCTAAGAGATTTTAAAACAAATGGTCATAAACTCTTAGTCTACATAGCATATTCTGTGAACTATGTTTATAATTTCAGTAATGAAATCAGAACAAAAAATACATTTAAACAAGAGGCCATGGGCCACAACACTCATTCCAATTCATCTTGACCCTGCTGTTCTTCACAAGATTTGACATGAAAAATTCTGTCCCCATATTGTGGCTCCATCCTAGACTTTTGTGCTCCCCCCCCCCCCCACCCCCTCTGGCCATGAATTGAAGAAATTTGATTGAATCTGCACTACCTGGTGATCCTTGCATATGTTTATATCACTAATCAATGCCTAGCTGTTCTTGAAAATAAGATTTTTCATTTAAAAGATATATATATAATCCGATGTAAAACTTAAATGCCTTATTGTGGCCCCACTCTTTCCTGACTCTGTTGTTCTTGAGAAAAAGATTTTTAAAGATTTTTCCAATATATTCCCATGTAAAACTTTGAATCCTCACCCTACCCATGGGGCTGATTTAAACAAATTGGAAGATCTACAATATCTCAGAAAGCTTTTACAAAAGCTTCATCTTTTCTGGTCAGGTAGTTCTTGAGAAGAAGATTTTTAAACAACCCAACAACTTTCACTACTTCTTAATTATCTCCCTTTGACAAATGATATGGCCCTTAAATTAATTTGAAAAAACTTGAATCCTTTTTACCAAAGGATGCTTTGTAGCAAGTTGGGTTTGTTTGTATGTTGTTTAACGTCCCTCTCGAGAATTTTTCACTCATATGGAGACGCCACCACTTGCCGGTGGAGAGCTGCAAATTTAGTCCTATACTCGGCACTT